TCAGCGTTTTTTTTTAATGTTGGAAGTTGTCGAAATATTTGACCGTCCCGGTACATAATTGACACCCTGTATAATTATATAATTGTATATACATACGGGAAGGGGTTTCTGTGACTGCGCGCGTGACACAGGAGGATAGGAGGGAACATCGAATCGACTAGCGAGGCGATGAGGATCTCATTTGGTGAGATCTGGACCCCACGAGGAGGGGTGTCTCTCCATCTCTAATTTGGACATGTCTCCTCGTGGCCTCATTGAAATTGAAAATATTACCAATAAGCACGTCTGCTCACTGCAAAGAAACTTTCAAAACTAATAGTATATACTTAGTTATTTCGTTTACGTCCTTCAAAAATAGGCAGGTATGCGACCCTCCATACCCAAACAATGACGTAGCTGGCAGATGTTGCTCAAGGTTACGGACGAAGGGAATTAGGGACTGACAGTACACGGAGAGAAGAACCCACCATGAAACGCCGTGAATCGGGCCGAGGAAAAATATTCGGTACGCATGCGCCGACGTTCCGCTTGCAAACTTTCGACTCGGGCATGTTTGTAAACACGACGAATCTATGTGTTCCTCACCGCCTCTATAGTCCGTGGTCACCACGGCTTTTTCCCGTGTAGCCAAAATAAAAAGTCATGGTGGCCACGGACTATACAGGCGGGGAGGAACACATAGATTCGTTGTTTTTTCGAACATGCCCGAATTGAAAGTTTGCAAGTCGAACGTCGGCGCACGCGTACCGAATATTCTTTCTCGGGCCCGATTCACGGCGTTTCATGGTAGGTTTTTCTCTCCGTGTATAGTCTTATACATTAAAATACTCATTCAATTTGTACAAGCTTCAGTGTGTGAGTAACACAAATCAATAGTTTATTATTTTTACTTATATTAAACGTCCGATGACGTATACAGACTGTATATAGGTGCATATTATGTAGAATATGAATTTTTCAACTTTTAAAACCGCGATATCTCACGAATGGTGATTCGTACGAAAAAAAGTATCTGAACATTTTTTGTAGAGAATTGTATGATCTACAACTTTTGTCTGACCTATTTTTACGATAAAACTTACCGTTTCCGAGAAAAATAGAAAAAACCTGAATTTTGTACCTTTGACCTTGGAGAAATTTTTTTCCAGAAGGAGGATCGAAGGGGATTTTTGACATTTCATTTGTAATGGTTTACTTAACGTCTTTACCAAATTTCAGCTTTATGCGAATTTTGGCGAAGTTATAACTTTTTTTTGTCTATTTTGACTGGACTATGTAACGTCATGATCAAGTTTGCTGACATACTGCTGGCATACTGCTAGCATTTTGCTATCTAGGTTTATACATATACATATGGTACATTGCATGCACAACACAAATAATAAATAAACATATATACAATAATAATTAAATATACGCAGTATTGTGCGTGCGTGCGTGCGTGATATAGATTGAATAATATTAATCATTACTTTTGCCATAAAATGTGTTTTAACGTATATTCGCGTTACTTCACATACAAGCTATTTAGTAGCTCACTTGAAAAAAACGGGAAATTTATTAATATAGCTTTATCAGTTAAGTGTTTTTATCAAAATTATTAATCAATTCAATTCATCATTATCAATTAGTCATTCTGTGGCTAAAAGTCTTGTGAAGAAAGAAACACATCATTGTTTACTAACACACGACGCGTTTACTCAACGAGTAATGATAAAAAGCAATCGATTGATTTTAGTATCAAATCTATTAGTTAATTATATATTGCGACCGTACTCACGAGAGCGGCGTAAAATCTTCGTCGCGCTTTCGTGATCTCCACTATTTATTGTCTCTCGAATCGGCGGTATTCCACTATTATCGAAATTGGAATTAAAAAAGTCAGTACTATCGACCTTGATTGAGTTGGGTAATCGGTTTAGCATCCCCTTAAGCAATTGGAAAGCACCCTTGGTATAAGATATACCAATAATAATATAATATAATATAATATAATGTAATATAGGGTATAATATGTACCCTTGGTCTATACCCTTGGTATAAAATGAATAAAGCCAAGGCTACAAATATGATGAATCCACATCCTCAGATAAAATTGTAAAAATATTTTGTGCAGTTTGTATATTATAGATATATATTTTACAAGATCAGGAAGATGCCTCGTTCAAATTAACGTAGCAGATTTAAGTTGAATCTGTATACAAATATTAAATATTACAAAGAACAATATCAATTTTTATAAATTCTTACACCATAATATGTGTATGATTATAATTAGATGATACCATGTTTAAACGAGTAGTACATTCTTCCAATAAATTTGCTTGTGAAAATCGTATCCATTCTTTCATATTTGCGTCATCGTTCAATAGCGTATCTGCCTCGGTATATCGAATTCATGTGAAAAGTCTCTATATAAAGCGTCGATGGATGCCACATATGCAAACGCTTGTCTTACAAGCGTACATACAATACCAATACCAGTATCGTATTGAATAGGCCTGATATTTCATGTGTTCGTCGACAAACATTTTGAGCA